TAGATAGATAGATAGATAGATAGATAGATAGATAGATAGATAGATTTTTTTTTTCCCCTATTTGCAAATATTGGCACTCTGTGTTTAATTGGAGTCACAAAGAACTATGAAATTGCTTCATAGTTCTTTGGTAACAGATGTCACTAACTTACATTTTTATCTGCTCCCCATTTCTCTAGATTAGACCAAGGTCTGGCTTCTGAACCTGGACCAGACAATTTGGTTAATTGTTCTTAATGCATTATATATCAACAGAGAAAGTGCATGTTTAGACATGGCCAGGTTAATGTGGACAATCCCCCCCTCCTAAATAAACAAAATAATAATCTGAAAACTGTTTTACATTTACTCAGGTTATATTTGTCATTTAGTAAATGTAGTTTGATGATTTAAAACTTTGGTGTGACAAAAAACAGCAAAAACTGAAGAGATCTATAAGAGGGCATTAATGCCATGTACACACCTTAAAAAAATGGAATCAGCAAATGTCAGAGAATCATCTGAGATTAAAATATGCACAGAAAATGCTGGGGGGTTTTTGTCCATTTTTGCTGTAGCACTGAGTGAAGACAGAGCTTTGACTGTGCTGCTACAAGTGAGCTGGGGGCAGTGGGCATAAATTTCACAGACACCCTTTGTCAGTAACGCTGCAGACTATGCAACACCGAATGAGGATTAAAAAAGACAAGACTGTTCATGTCATTAGTGGATCAAGAATCATAAGAATTCTACTTTTGTGACGCATAATCACTGGCTACATATAAAAGAAATTCTTTCATCCATGCCAGGTTTCTCAATAATGTTCTGCGGTATTTCAGCTTGTGTCAGTTGTAGCGTATAATAATAATATACTGCACCTACACTCGAACTTATAAAAAGCTCCAGGAACTCATGTTGTGCTTCACTCAAAATATATCTGCACTCAGCAGCATCTCGAAAACCACTGACGCATTCTTTACATCAGCCAAAACTCAAGCTATTTTAGGGAGAAATCGTCTCTCCATACAAAAGTACAGAGTACTGCGTATCCAAACTCACACGTTTACATGTGCCTCTGCATTTCAGCATTTTTCATCTCTTAGTTTACCATCCAGTGAACTAAATGATAAATAATATTCAGTTTATCCTTTTAGGGATGCAAGTATGTTGGAGTCAGTAACACACTAAACATAATGCATGAGTAACATGTACAGATGCATCCCAAAAAGTAGAATATCATTGTAAAAGTGTATTTATTCTAGTATTAATTCCTGCAAAAGGTGTCCTAATATATTGTACAGTGCATGAGGATACTTTTCAGCAGGCCATCTATTTTCTAATTGGTTTTATGCAATATTGTGACTTTCGAAATTTCTGAGATGCACCCGTTATAAAATAGTTAAGACAGAAACTTGTGGTTTTTCTCTCATAGTTTGTAGTTTATTCCATTACAGGCAGGGCAGTGAGGGAAAGGGATTAAATACATTCTCATCGTGGGGCAGGAAAGGAAGGGATGCAAACCAGGTAAACATGGACAAGACATAGTTGAATTATTTCTTTTTCAATATAGACGAATTTGTATCTGCCAATAGTCTGAATAAATAGCTCCTTTTTCTCCTACATGTCAGTACTGATCTTTTCAGGTAGTCCTATTGTTATATAGTTGTTCTCTACACGACTCTATTGGAATTCATCTTACAGACATCTGCATAAATAAGTACACATAAAAGACAGTGCTGTACACATCACAATGGAAAAATGGTACTTTCTTTTTGCAGAGTTAAGTGTATGAACAACTGCAAACAAAGCTGCTGCTAGAAGGAACCGTCTGGCCCAACAATAGTGTGTCTATCAGGACCGTCATAACGGTGTAGGTAATGCCTGATTTTAAACTGACTGATTTTAAACCAGTCTGCTGCGAGCGATCACAGCAGATGTCATTAAAGAAGCTGTGCAGATAGCTAGTGAGACTCGGACTTGGTAGTGGCATGGCACCAAATGTCGGTCTGTAGCATACCTCATCACTTTGAAGAATTTGTGAAAACTAAAAAATGTTTAAAAAAAAACAAACAAAAAAAAAAACATTATGCACGAGTCATGGCAAAATGTTTACGTGCCACTGACAAACAGGGTAACAAAGGCTTAGTTATAGATAACGTCTTGCATTTAGGAAGAGCTTCCCTAAAAACTGAGATAAGAAAACACTGACATCAAACCAATCTGTTGCAGGATAATAAAACCATTAAATATAGTGCTAAATGTGAAAACATTGACTGTACTAAAGAATGCAAAACATGAGCAACTTGTCACACCCAAAGTGATATAGACAACTTGATGTCAGTCGTGAATTCAGTCCAACTTCAAGGAGGATGAACCGGATTAAAGGGAAGTAAACACTTTGACCTCCAAAACTGAAAGCACCTTCAGAACAGGAAAACAAAATGATGTCCTGATGCACTTTTACTTCTAATTAAACCTCTAATAAGCCTGTGTTAATGATGGCTGAGATATGGTGATTATTTCTGGACACGTTCAGAGCGCATTTACTGTGACTTGATGACAAGACTTGTTCTATACAAGCCATGCTACGTTAAATGCATAAAGCATGCAAACTCTGACTTGGGCACATTGCTAAGAGATTTTTAAAGAAAATTATACAGCAATTTTAAGACAATTTGTTATTAGTTCAAACCCAACGTGCAGCGGTCTTTTTATTTTTTTTCTTTACATGAAAGGTATGGCAGCATTTTAATGTCAGGATGACATTGCCTACATGTTGTTGTGTAACAGTCTAGATGGGAACTGATAGAACTTGAAATGAAGTATTGAACTGAGCCTGTGCTTAAATAAAGTAGTATCCTTAAACATATAGAAAATTACATTTCATAAATACATTTGGCAAGACAATTTGTTATCTTTTCTTTTTTGGCAAAAGGGGTAAACTGAGCAATGTGTGTGCAATAGTAACAAAATGTCAATCTAAGTGGCTTAGTGACAAGTTCTCCATCGGAATAACTTATTAAAAAAAAGTTGTCATGCATTATAAAGTGTAACCAAAAGACTCTAAAAACATCCATAGGCATCTGTAATAACTTTGTCACAATCACTTTATGTTTAAGACACATGTATTCTCACCAACATAACACACTCTCTTTCTCCAAGTCAGTTCTTTGTAGACCTGAGGAACGTTTCTTATTGTTTTTTTTCACTTCTGTTTATAAACAAATATGTCCCATCTTCACATTCTGGATTAAAAAAAAAAAGATAAAGATAAAACAAAACAAAAGCTGTACAAGCTTTCAGAACTGCTGAAGATGCAGGAAGAGGTCCGATACACCAACCCAGATGATGTGCCTTTGCTAACCGTTTCTACAGCATTAGTTTCAGATTTCCTGCTCAGTTAACGATTCTCCCTTTGCATTTGCTAAAATCAGCGACTGGATGAAATGTAGAAATGTTCCCATGTGGGTCAGACGATATTGTTCTGGATTGGCATTGTGAAGCTACAGTTGTGAAGCAGCACAGCCCCCTGGCATGCAGAGAGAGGTATCTTCTTTTTTGTCATTGCAATACTGTGAAAATGTCCCCTGAGTTCAAAGGGGACACCTGGAGAATGGATATGGTGTACCTGTTGGTCCCTTAAGTTCTGTCACTGGATCTCTAATGAGTGACTCCATTCCACTCCATGCGTGTGTTGTGATATGTTTGAAAGTTTGAATCACCAGACCTTAAAGCACAACAGAGCCTTCAGGGCATATTAAACCATTGATGATAGTGTATTCTCTTCAGGACAGTGGCATGGGCTGGATGTTCGTAGGGAGTGAATGGCTGGCGGGGCACCCTCGCTTGGCGAGAGATCGTTGAGCTCCTCAGAGGATGAGAGAGGAAAGGATGGGGACAATGATATGCCTGAAGAGGGATCAGCAGAACCGGCAAAAGTGCGTGGAGGCTTGGGAACAAGGTTAGGCTCAAGTGTTGCTCTGGCCAGCAGCTGTGCATCATCCAGGTGCTGTCCATCTCCAAGACATTCACCTTGTCCAAAAGAACCCCTGCCCGACTCTGACTCCCCATCAGACAGGTCCAGAGGTGGTGAGCTGCTGCCGTCCAGTCTGAAGAGAGAGTCCAAGTACTGTGCGAACTCTAGCACAGCCTGACTGGGGTTCCCATTTGTTAGCTGGGGTGGAGCAGTAGAAACGGCTAGACTGGTTTCTTCACCCAACATTTTCTGTGTCATCTCGAGCTCCATGTCCTCTTTTTTGCTATCCATTAGTCTAGAGTCAATCTGTGGGCTTAGTGGAGCATTTGGAGTGCTCCCTGGGCTGTAGACACCAGGCATCTGATCCCCATCACTAACCATTGTTGGAGCTGCATTAGACTCATGTTTGAAAGGCTGAACACATTGATTTAAAAGGGCTGGGGAATGGGGTCCACTGTAGCGTGGTGTGGCAGGAGACAGCCTCATAGGGTAATCTGGAGTGGATTTGGATTCGTGTGGGGTAAAGAAGGGTCCAACCTCACCTAGGTGCTCCGGCGTTGCCGGGCAGAGGCAATCTGCAGCCAACAATTCGGTACGAGAGCTGAGAGATGGGTTCTCCTCTGGTATTGGGGCATCCAACGGGAAAGGTAGGCTACCCAACATCGGCGAGCCCCTGAAAGCCGCTGATGAGCGCCGAGAATCCAGGCTGTAAAGAGACTCTGCATCCGAGAGACTTTCCATGACGGCCAGTGGTGCCTTACGGTCCCTCAGCTCCACCGCAAGGCGCTCGCGTGCTCCACGCAACACTACAGGAACTGGGGGAGGAGGGCACTCAGAGAAACCATCCAGAGATATCTCAGACTGGGCACACGAACTGGAGGATAGGAAAAGAGAGGGCAGGAGAGGGATGACAAGGACAAGAGGAGAGTGGGGGACCCAGAACACAGGATAGACAATAAAAGTGGGTCAAAACATCTTTGCGGGTTAAAGAAGGGAGGGAAACAGGTGTTAGTATTCACACTATATCTACATTCTCCAAGCTACGTGCCTGAGGCAACATGTTAGGTCGATGGAAGAAAACACGCAGACGTCAGACTAAAAAGACCAGGGGTGCTGATCATTTTTGCTCATGCTTCCTTGTGTCCATGAAGAGGATATTGTTATTTTTGTGACAAAACAACTCAAAGAAAGGATATTTTCATATCCTGTGATTTCTTTTAAACCTCCTTACATGGAGTATCTGAAACATGGATAAAAGTTTGCATAATGAGAGGCACCCATGGAGCGTGTGCTAGTTAGTGCATGTATGCTCTTGGATTAGCATCATATGCAAAGGGTAAAAAATCAGATTTCAAACATTACTACTATCGGAAATTCACACTGACTTAGGACAAGGACTGAACCAGAGAGGGCGAGGTGGAAATTGGATACTACCATACGTTACAATTGCTCTGTGGATAGACAGCGTGCAAGCGTGCAAGAGAGAGGGGATCATATTGTGCAGAGTTAGTACTGGCATGCCTTGCTTACCGTAACAAAGGTTTTTCTCTTTTTTTTTTTTTTTTAAAAACAGACAGACAATAATTTGAGAAAACAAAGTAGCAGTTAGTATCAGTAGTATGTCTCTGAGCACCACATAGTTAAACTACAGTTACAGGCTAAGGATGAAGTTTAGCTTCACATGTTCTACAAGGCTCAAGCACACTTAAAACAGTGCCCGGCATACTAACCGAACGCTGCTGTTTCTGCGGTGGTGGGTTGTTGTGGGTGTCGGCTCCTGAGAAGCTGCATCCACGAACAAAGTCTCAGGGTTCAGATCTACTTCTGTGGGGCTCACCATAATCTTGGCTGCCGACAACAAGGCCGTTTTGCCTTTATTGTAGTTCTCCAGAACCTGTTACAAGCACAGAGGCACACACACATGCGCACACTTCAGACCATGTCAGAGCTAAATGCTGACAGGTTTGGGGGATGTGCAATGGAGAAGGTGAAAATAACCACAAAAAACTTTCTGAAAACAACCACAAAAAACTGGCATATTCATAAAATTACTTCTTTTGTTGAAGTCTTTTTTTTTTATTTATATAAAAGCTACAAGCAGACATCTTACTCATAAAAATCCTGAAATGTATTTAAAAAGCCTTTAGATTACCTTCAGGGGGAAAAAAATGCTCTCAACCAATGTCCCTAAAATTACACACAACCAGACACGTTTGCATCTGATATAAAAATAAAAAAATAAAAATGAAAAAGTAGCGTTCATACAAATGAAAGTGCAATCTAAAAAATAGTTTACAAAATGACATTAACCACACACAGCAAACATGATGCCTCAGGGAGAACTGAGGCCCACATTACTCCTGTGATACAACAACAAAACATATTTAAACCTTATGTGCTTAAAAAAAATTAAATAAATAAAATCCCTTTTTTTCTACAAAATAGTAACAGAGTAAACACCAAGATTACAAATGTTTAGTAAACTTTAATGAATTAATTAATACATTAAAAAAACATACACACACAAAAAAAGAAATGTTAAAATTACATGCGACAGAGATAAAATACAACAGATACAATTTAGTAAGTTAAAATGCTATTAAAATAAGTCACTCTTGGTTATAGAGAAGGGCGGGGAGCATTAAAACAACATGTTGTTTGGCAGCGTGCAACCCCTAAAAAAAATGACACAAATGGCGGCAGAAATTACGCATGAATGATGAAGTTGTACTGCAGTCCCAGTAGTTGCACGTTTGAGTGGTTCATATTCTAAAATGACACTGACAACATTTGAAGTGTTTTTCCGTCTTTCGGTATTTAAATATGCAAGTGTAAACACTGAGTTTATACGAAATCCAAGTAAGTTTCTATTTTTTAAAGAAACATGCAGACTTTGTGGGAAATAAGCAAAAAACAAACAGATCAGTTTGTTTTTCCACCTTTCTCTGGAAATAAAACTTGGCAAAAGTTGAATATTTTTAAAAATGAAATGAGGGAATAATTATCCAGAAAGAAGAGCTGCACTGACTGAAAAACCTAACCAAGAGTGGTGGAAAGAAAAAAAAAAAGAAAAAAGAGCAGTTAATGAGGAAGAAATTACATTACCATGGAAACTCTGAACACAATGAAAACTGGTTAGATTGCGGAACAAGCGTCACAAATTTTGCACCAAGGCTCTTGACTGAACGTACAGTGGCAGAGAAAAGGCTGGAAGAGAACCAAAAGTTATTTCTTTTAAAAGTCACCAGAAAAGATAGAATATAGTTAAAAAAAAAAAAAAAACATCTTTAAAACAAGTTAGAAGCACATTACAAATGACACCCTAAATTTGGGACCTAATTTCAAAGCTTTTTCTCACTCACATTTAAAACATTAATTGCCCAAATCTTGTAAACTTGTCAGTTAAATCTCCACACTTTCTACTTCCCCTCTGCCCCCCCCAAAAAAGCTGCGACGCCTTGATGCATTTAACCCATTGGTTTATGTGGAAAATGCAGCTAAGCAGTGGACGACTTCTACAAGTTAGTCTCAACTTTACTACCACCGGGGTTCCTCTTGTGAGAGGTCTTTTGTTGTTTTAATAGTGGGAGAAAAGAGAAGGTCTGTCTTTTAATAAAAGTCATTCCGCCCCTCTAAAAGTTGCCCTAAAAGTCAACACCAAAACAATCACAAAGCTGTCTGGCATTTTCATCACATCGCAAATAAGCAATAGTTAAACTAAGTGCTCAAATTGGCATTTTTGAACTGACAAATAACTTTAATACTGAGTGTCATAAAATTTAGATAAGGGGATCTGCAAGATTATTTAACACTTGTAAACTGCAAATCTCTGGAATTTGTGAGGAGCGGATCATTTTCAGCATGAGTCGAGTTGGACTCAAGAGACTGCCCTTCAGAAAGAGGGGTAGGCATCACGTCTTCATTAGAGTAATGGATGCATGGCACAGACTTGGTTTTTGCTGGTAAGCATAAATCATTTTCAGCTGGAAGAGCTGCTGTGTGAGGGTGTGAGGAGATGTTAGAAAGTGAAGCGACAGACACCAAGCACGGCTGGGAAGAAGAAGTGCACCCTGACAAAGGAGGAGGTGGAGAAACAGACTCGGCATCTGGAAAAGAGAGAGAAGTGTGGCCGGTTGGACGGACGGAGACAGCTTCGTTTTCTGTGTGGGATTCAGTGCCAGACAGGTGTTTGTGGGCGATGGAGGAAGTATCGGATGGAAGAGGTCTGGGGTTTAGCTCGCTTTGTGAGGTTATAAACAAACTGGTGTTGCATGATGACTGACTGACTTCCAGTTCCTCCAGTTCCAAATTTGGACAAAATGGTTCCAGTACCTGTTGAAACACCAGACGTATCACACCACAAACTGGGAACAAAAGGCAAATACACGCATCCGAAATCGAACTAACCTACAGAACTTACAACACCCATACACAGACAGGGATATAAAGTCTCCAGCCACAAGAAGTGCAAACCCCTTAGTTGGATCCTTTACATGCAGAAATACACAATGACAGCTTGTTATCAAAACAGGATGTTCAACATCCTAGAAGAACCAGAGAAGACCACGAACCGACTGTGACAGAACAGTTCCCATGCTTTGAGGACCAACAAAGAGAAAGACAAAAGAAAGAGGTGAAGTTGTGGGTTAGGGATCAACATGCACAAATAAACCTATCAATAAATTTATAAAATTTCTACTGCTTCTGCATACAGTTTAAAAAAAAATGTGTGGACTAAAACATCAGAAAAGCAAAATGGCTACCACCTATCAATTTAAAATTTATTTTAAAGGATTCACTTCTTATGCGCAATACTAGAAAACATAAGATACCGTTATATTAGAAAGCAACCAAATAATCTTAATGGAATTAAAAGGCTAATCGATCTTTTTCAGCGCTTTAAGAACATGGTAGATATTTTCAACCTTCTGCTGTATATGACAGTCTGTCATTCTACAACCCAAGTTACTCCCATTTGTAGAAAAAAAAACAAACAAAAAAAAAAACACACACATTATCCTTTTTGTTAGAAGCAACTGATACATGTTCACCATCAATTTAACTACCCAGCACTGGAAGTCAAGAGCAAAACTGGAAGGACAATTTGAAAAACACCCTTAGAGAGAAATGTAAACATGCAAAGGGATGAGACAGACCTTGTTCAGGCCCTTCATAACCATGTGGGGCATGTGCTCGTTCAGCATGGCCGGCGATATGATGACCTCGTTGAACCCCTTGTTGTCTCCCCACAGAGCCGAGTACGTCGGCTCTTCCTGTCCACAACTAGAGAAGCAGAAACCCATCAAACTCACAACACATCGATTTTCTCAACATACTAAAAAAAAAAAAGGGCAAGTACAAAAGTTTATGTGAAATTTAGCAAGTATGTAGAAAAAAAAAATATTCAGAGAGGAATGTGTTGAAGATTGGATCATACAACTCTAAAAGGAAGCTTGTTGGGTATTTTTCTTACTCTGTTCTTGAAATCTGCATAATAAATGATCTTGGTCTGAATGCGATATATGCTCTGAATGGACTTGGAGCGTTTACATAAATGTCCAAAAGTTATCAAGTGTCAAAAACAGCTGTATCTGCTGAGGATATTTTCTACAACGAAAAATGTTTTCAGCAATTTGTTTGATTTTTATTTTACTTCGAAGAATCTCCAGTTGTCCTTTATGTGACATAAAAGCTTTCCAAGCTTGAAAGGATGACAGATTTTTCACTCTGTTTCAATTCAGTTTTTGTATATGGCTCCATTCAGAGCATTCGGGTTTTTTTCCCCTTCAACAGAGGAGACATGAGCCCCAAACACTGGCGGTGTAGATTAAACAACTGAGACTTGATGTATATCTCAGGTCTCCTCTTTGATCTTAGCTGGACTTTCTTGATTAACTTTTAGGTTTAGGATTTACATACTGTTTATGTGTTTTGGACATTATTTCCAGTTTTAAATAAATATTACAAAACCTGGTGCACGTCTTCATGTTTCAGTCCAAACATACTTGTGAGTTGACAATTCGATTACAAAAAACACATTAAGGAAAAAAAAAAAAAAAAAAAAAAAGTCCACCAATGCACATCTTCAACATCTTCACAAAATGTACTGGAACTGCACTGTTTTTAAGAACTTTTTGAACAGTTTTCTGACCATGTCTCTGGTGGATGGTTGTGCACCACATGGATGATCCTGCCAGGAGGATAGAGAGGAGTGGAGGCTGAGAGGGCAATGCTGAGGTCACTGGGGTGTAGCCAAAGACGACTGCTGGGGGGCGCTGCAGGCTGAGATGGAGGATCGTCATCCTCTACTGGAAGCTCTGATTTGGGGATGCATTTGGTACCTCCCACAATGATCCTCCACTGCCACAAAAATACAGATATTACTTTTCACGTAAATACTATTCATTGCTTCTTTGTTATATAACTGGTTGATAAAACTGTATTTCTGTGGGACTGATTGACAAAAATATATGTCAATAAAGTTAAGTTAGAGTTATATTTTATACTACAAAAACTGAAATTACCTTTGGCTTGTTACTTTTCTGCAAGACCTCCAGAAGGTGTCTTCTAAAACCCTCCAATTGGGACAGGCCGAGCCTATGAAAGACGAGAGGCTTTAGCGGTAATACTGCTGGAAACGAATCACAATACATTTGATTCGTTGGTAGAAATACCTTGGTACGAGGTCTTTGCCCAATACCACAGATGTAACAAACTCTTTGGAGTACTCCATGGCATCCTCACTGGGCAAACGAGACAACACGAGAAGCTTGAATAACGTAAACAAGTTGTGTGAAGAGCGGGAAGGGTCTGGGCCAAAAGGACAACTTCCTACTTCTGCAAACTACTTGAATAAATTCATGCACAAAGGGATTATCTGTGTCTTTACAATACAACTTTAATGAACTTGGACTAATCCGGAATTTGATATGAAACACAACGAAGCTGCAGCATTTCTGATGTTCAACAACATAATTTTCTTCCTTAAAAGGAACTAAAGCTCTGCAGAAAAGATATTTGCCCCACATATGCATTTCTTCTACTTTTACTTTTTTGTTGCATTATAATTTAGCAACATTGGAATTTTTTTCTTCCAAAAGCTTTCAGTCATTTTGTTTGAATCTATTCATAGGTGCACTATAAATAGCCTCATGCTCATATGCAACAGGATCCCTGTCCTCTTGCATAACCCCAGTGGTCTTAGGTTGGTGTCACAGACTGATGGCTATCCACTTTGGATTTTTTTTTTTTTTTTTTGAGAACTGTCATCACACTACTGATCCATGAGCTCCCATGTATTTACTTTCATTTTAATTTTAGACCATGATGACGCAAGTATGATCTGAAATGTGTAAAAGATTGTAAAAAAGATAATGAAAAAGAACAAATCTTGGGGGCAAACAGCTTTTCAATCTCGGTTAGTTTCACAGTCTAACATCACATTGTTCTGCATGGCGCAAAATGAGCTTCGTCATATCTTACTTTTATTACCCCCATAGCACTGGAGTGACACAATTTATAATGTAAAGAGGCATTTGAAGTCTTTATTCTAGCTCTACTGAACGATGCTAAGTTCACTGTGCAAGACGCAGTGCAGTGAGGGTAATGTGTACCATGCATCTTTCATCGATAAAAGCATGGATAACATTGCAGATTTGTGGCATGCAAAACCTCAAAATCCATTCTCACAACAGCCAGGCTGAAAGTGAACTCATCTATCTGCATAACGTGTTCACAGTCTATTTCATTACCACAGAACTGACATGTAGCCCCGCAGACTCTTTATCTAATAAACTCCAAGGTAAAATTAAATGCTCTTCTAGGATGTTAACATGGTTTGCCTGGTGGTCACAATTCTCTGGTGGTTCTTTCCAAAGCCGTCAACAATTTTTTTGACAGCTTTAAACAGAACATAAATATAGTAGTGATAATCATTTCTACTCACATTGTTAAGATTTCTAAGTAAAAACAGGAAACAATCATGAAGCCTATAGAGGTTTTACAGTTGCCAGAAGCATTTCACATTTTACATGTGATTATTTAAACAAAACATCAAACAAATACATCAGATAAATAAACTCATTAATTTTGATTTTAAATATATAAAATGAAAAATATTAGTTTAAATATATGTATCATTTACATTCAAATTCTGCACAAATGTTTAAACAATTATTACAACATTTCATAGTTTTGGTCCATTCATCTAGACTGATTCTGAGCTCCTCTGGAGGACATTTCAGAGATTTAGAATTAAGATGCAACAAGCAACTTAAATAAAACGAGGCGTTTATTGCGCAGCGGTGACATGCAATTGGTTTCTTTAAAAAAAAATAAAAATAAAAAAAGCACTCCATTTCAAAACATAAACATAACAATTCCACCTCGTTTAAGCATTTAATGACTTCTTCAATTATTCCAACAGAACTGGGCTCACTTTTAAAGAATAAAACAGGCTGAGTTACCTTAGAAGGCCACCAGGTGGAGAATAAGAGTAGCAGTGGAGTGTGGGGTACTGAGGTCTGAGCAGGAAGGAGAGAATAGCAGCAGTGCCTGCACCAAGAGAGTGGCCGACTATCACCAGCCCATAATGCATGGTGCCCTTACTCTGTGGGAGACAGAGTCATTACGCTCACTACAGCACACCATCACCACAACAAAGAGCCGCTCTCACAACAAGCCTCTTTAGCTGTTGGCATTATGTCTTCTTAGCACAAAGATTCACTTCATGGTCATTTTACACGTTTAGCAAAGCTCTGAATAAGGTACAGCAGTCAGTGTGAGCACACAATCTACACAGAATCCCTACTGCACCAGTCATGTTTTACACTGTATACTGAGTCACGCACCAAGTCTCTTCCAAAAGCTTGTGACAAGATCATTTCCTGCTCCAATTTCTTCTTAATGTATTCTGCTGAGTAAACCATTCCCTGGAGAGAAATAGAAGAGGATTCAATAGATGGAGGGCAGCAAAAAAAAGATAGAGGAAAAATGAAAAGGAAGTCATTCATCTCTTTACACAATATCCAAACCAATTACTCTGAAGTTAACATTTAATATGACCCCTCCCCAGCACACCCCACCCCGGAAAACAGAGAGAGGGAAAAAGCGAGCGAGTCTGAATCACCTTGGAGTTGCTCAGTCTCTCACCTTGTGACCAAGCCAGGTCCCATGCTGCCCCTCCACAGGCAAACGCTCAGAGTCTCCCGTCAGGTCAGTCAAGGCGTCCTGATTGACACAAGCCAAATGAAGTGAAAAGAAAAGGGAAGGGAAAATAACTAAATCAACGGCAAAGGCAATATAAAGCATGGAACACAAGAAATCCCCTCACATAAATGAGCAGAGGGTATAGAAAATGTACAATTTAAGTCCTTTATCGCCAGTTTGTTTGCAACACTCCTTTTTAACAAAACAAAACAATAGTGTTGGCTCATATAGCTTGTCATTTAACTTTATGTTAATGAAACCCTTAATATTGTTTAATTAATGGTAGGACATTGTGTTTTTACTTTGTGCTGTATATCTTTGGCCAAGTTGATCATACGTTTTCTCCCTATAAGCATTTTATCTTTGTTACACAATAAATCCGTTATAAATCTCTTAGTTCCTATTCAGTTCTGATTTAAAACATCAGAGCAATCTTCCAACAAGCTTAAATAAGAGCATGTAGGACATTTCTGTCCAAGAGTGGACAGTCACGCTCTCATTCTTTACGTGATGGGTGTGGGAGTTTGAGAGCGTTGCAGCGAAATATGAAAATTTCACCTGTTGTTGAAGGTGTTAGAGCTTAGAGGTGCTAAGGAGGGTGGGAGCGTTTAACATTATAAGAAAAATCTATATCTTTATGATGATGAATAATGGTGAAAAAAAAAAGAAAAAAAAAAAGGAAAATGACCTTTGGCGAAAGGGTTCCTCTGATACTGATGACGACTTTCTTCTTCGCATGATCCACCGCCACAAAGAACGGAGTCTCGTAAACCTGTTTAAAACACGCACAACACAATAAGTGGTAAAATGCAGGTTCATGTTAGGAAAATTAGGAAACGTTCTCATGTCACCACACAAGTGAAAATATCACCGAGCAGTGGCACAAGGCTCCTGGGATGTTTCTCCTTTTTTTTTTTTTAACGTGGCCTGAGTGTGTGAAGAAAGAACTCAATGTAATCAAAATGAATTACTGCTGCCCAAACTTCTACTTCGATGTATTTTATTGTTTTTTTTTGTGTGTGTGTTAACACCAACACAAAGTAAATCCATACTCAGTAGGAAAGGTTATTGACTCGATGCGATCAACCGTCGCCACACACTTGGTCAGAAGGCATTGTCGGTAGTCAGTGATGGCTGAGGTCAAATAGTAACCCTTTCACCAACTGGCATAATAAACTGAACTTTATCTATAACTAGGTTGGTACTAGTCTGTGACTGGCTTATTTATTTAGTTTTATACATTTTCATCGCCAACTCTGGCTAGCTTCCTAATAAAAGCGTCCTTGAAGCGTGATGCTACCACCACTATGAAGCACATTCGACAAGGCGGGTTTTCACTTTAGTCTCCTTGAACCAGAGCACCTGGTCCACAGACTTCCCTTCTCCCCTACCTGGCTTGTGACAAACTGCAGAAAGTGGATTCCTTTGGCGTTCTATCTTCAACTCTCCAAACTGAGCCCAGATTTGTGGGGTGCCTCAGTAATAGTTGTCTTGTCTCCCACCTGAGCTACAGCTTACTACAGCTCCCCAGAGGCTTCATCAGAGAAACCTCTTGGTTACTTTTCTGATTAATGTTCTCCTTGCTTAAGTTTGCATTTGTTAGTTTTGATATAAAACTGTAACTCATAAGAGAAGAGAAATACAATGAATCACAAAAAAAGGTAATGTATGCAGGACTGCACAATCCACTGGCATGTGACTCATAGCTTACAGATGGGAGGGAAAAAGCAGAGAAAGGAAAAAGTTACCACCAGATATAATTTGTATGATGGGAGCGCTACAGCACATGTTTAAATGTCAAAAGAAAATCTTGTCGGAATTTCTGCTAAGTCCCATCATTCTAAATTTAATAAAAGAGACATAATATAACCTAAAATCCCCATGTAAAGGAGGTAAAGCAGCTCTTGAAGCTTTTCAACTGTATATAGTCTTTCAGTGTTTTTTTTTGTTTTTATAATCATTTTTAAATGTACACACTACAACCTGGTACTAGAAGAGGAAAACAACCTTACCACAAAAGACAAATCGGAGTCTCATTGACAGAAAACTGACCGTTTGCTTGGTATGTCAAAGGCTTAATTATGCTGCCGCTGCTGGCAGAATAATGGAGGGATCAGAATAAGTCGGTCACAGCGAGTGCTTTCAAACTGTAGATTGAGCTCCAGAACAAAATCATCAGCATGCATTCAAATTCAGCTCTCTGACCATCTCTGTTACTGTCATAAAGGCACATCAGTTCCTCCTCGCTCTGTCCTCACACGTCTCCCACAGAAGAGAATAAAGGTGCAGCGCTGTGTCGAGCAGGCTGTCTGAAAAGAGTTATAGTTCCAGCAGCAAGCAGGCCGGCACCCCCGGCGCAACTCTCGTCTTAGCCATCAAGGCCTTTTCCATCCTGGCACAGTGCACTGTCTTAAGTCAGTGAATTTATAAATGGAAACACAGTGCTGGTTAACCTCACAGAGCACTCGGCTCTGGAAATTAGTGGCTCAAGAACAAGTTTTAGTATTGGTATAAAAATAACTTTGCAATGCAATGAGGAAGCTATTTCAATGTCTTTTATTGGCTATTCTAGAATATTAAAAGTGGCAGACGAAAAAAAATAAATAAAGCTCAACTTCTCTTCTAATTACCGACCGTGTTTTACTATGGCAACTGGCTCACAGTTAAAACTTATTGGACATCATTTTAATTGTGTTCTAAAAATTGTCAGGGCTGTGACAAATTTACGACAAAGGTACATTCATCATCACCTTGTGAAGTGACTCTGGTTACTGCACTCACGCAAAATTGCTGGTCTCCCCCTCTGTTCCAAAAGGAGGTGTCAGCATTCAGGCAATTTAGGTAAATGGAGTATGGATGAAGAATAAATTATCTTGTCACATTAACAGTTTGGAACAACATTCATTTAACTCTGGGCTTCTTCAAATGCTGAGAGCCTTTGTAGTTTTGCAGCCCTTGACTTACGCAGGATGTGAACAGCTCTCACGCAGCCTCCAGCATCTCAGCGACTCCGGAGTCCAGCTAATGTAATCAAGACAAGATGCAAACGAAGAACAAAACCCACACCTCACTCCAAGGAGCTGAGCCACTGTTTTTACATAGCATTTGTTAGACAAAGACTGTGTCTTGTTCACAGTGCTGCATGCGTTTCTGTGTTGTACCATGTGCGAAACTATTCGTGCCCCTCATTTCATTTTATTTATTTATTTATTTTAATTTTGTCTCATGACATCCACAAATTCCATTGTATTTTATTGGGACTTTATTTAACAGACTAACATTGTGAAACAGAAAAACGATACATGGTTTTTAAAATGAATTAAAATAAGAATCTGAAAGGTGTGGCGTGTATTTGCAGTTAGCCACCCAGAGTCAATACTTTGTAGAATCAACTTCCTCTGTAATTAAAGCTCCGGCTCATGTTCCTATTAGTCTTACACGTCTCTAGAGATTAAATATTTGCCCTTTCGTCTTGGCTCAACAGCTCAAGATTCTCGTTTGCATTACAACTTTGGCTGCAATACAATGGTTGTGATGGTTTCTGATAATGTCTTGTAGGTAAGTGAACTCCCACTCTAGGCTCAAGTCTTTCCTAGCCTCCAATTAGTCCCATTAAACCAGGGTTGTAAATTGCAATCTGTAACATTAACCTACCCATTGTCACTCTTATATGTCAGGTTTATGAATGCTTTTTTCAAATAGGAAGTGGTCGACTGCACGCTGCTTTAAAAATCCATTATTGCGTATGCATTGCTCACCGGCAGAGTGCGGACTATGCTGTGCTGTGCCAAGTTGCGGGCGCTGCCTCGAGCTTTGAAAGTATTTTCTGTGATCTCATATGGGTGGTTCAAATCAGAAACAAAAAGTCATACATGTCCACCAGGACAAAGGAAAAACAGGCAATATTTCAGTATGGAGCTAAAACACATGATTAAAGAAATATTGGGACCAATGTTTTTTGTTTTTTTTTAAACTGTTATTTGGATGAATATATTTGACCACTTGTGGGTAAAAGGCGACATTAAAAGGCTGTAACAATTAGATGTGTCTTTATATTACAATACAAAATTGCAGCATAAGTGAGCACAACTGATGATGAGTCACTATACTTCTGTCAATATCATTTTCCCTCATTAACATATTTGCTTACTCCCTGCTCAGCAGTCCTCTGTCCCGTTTTTGGCCCTAGTTTCATGGTGAGAGCAGCTTGTTGGATATCCGATGTAAAAGCTGCCTTATAATTGTGCCTTCAACAGATTCTGCTACGTGAGCTACAGATCTCTGCAGCTCCTCCACAGTCACCTTTGGAATCTTGAACGTTTCTGGCCTTTGAGGGTATCGGAGCAATAGGAAATGAGAAGTTTTGCTTCCATTTCAGTTATATGTTATTTTGTGTTGGCTCATTACGTAAAATCTCATTAAAATACAGTGAAGTTTGTGACTGCAACCTAACCAGAGTTGCAAGGAAGGCACTCTATATTAACTTAAAAACAGGGGTGACACCACAATTTCCTTCTGCAAGGCCTTATAAATAAAACATTTGGCTGATATTGTGGAACCCCTGCGCAGCATCCATCCCTCATTCAGACACGGAAATAAATCTTACAACACTTCTGGCTACTTATGGTCTAGTTGCTGAATTACTCACAGCATCGTGGCAGGATGTGTAGACAATGTGAACCTGCTTGAGATCCCTATCAAGGAAATGTCTCCGTATGGCAAGGACATTGCAGCCGCAGCAGTTGTCCTCCTCCACTGTGACGGACTGAGACAACCGTGAGCCAGACACCGATGTGCAGCTGGACACAAAGAGAACGGTAGCGGAGTAGGGGGTGGGAGGGGAAAGACCGGTGTTAGATTGTTCAGCAGACTGCAGATGAAGTGGATTGAATAGAAATGCAGCAACAGCAAGTAAGATAACAGGGATATAATTAGCATCCCAGCGCAGGAAATCTGGGTACGAGCATGTGATAAATTCAACACTGCTTGGGTCAGTGAGTGGGTCTAACTGGAGTGGTATTGTCTCGGTGGATTACCACTTGGCAAGTGTTGACGCATGCGAAATTTGATCTGGGCTGAAGAGGCTCAAGAGACACAGAAACCAAATAGATATAAATGTGTGGGTGTGTGTTTGAGTACTTACGGACAGGAGCTGGCGAGGCGGCACAGCCCACAGCCAGGCTTCCTCATCAGGTACATGGGCCAACCGTATGCAGCCAGGGCAAAGAGCATATAATAACACACCTCCTTGTACATGTGCATCTCCACCTAAGAGGGGCAAGCGCACAAAATTTGCATCAGAGCGAGAGCAACGGCAGAAATGGCACATGTCTTTCAATTACATCAAGTAGAAATGTTATCTTTGTAAATGCGGCAAGACCAGAACGTGAGCAAAACTCAGGAAAAGAAACTCACAGAGTTCTTGAGGTCCAGATACCTCGTACTACGAGTGACTGGTATTCCTGACAAGAATGCTATAATGTCGTTGTTGGCCTGTAGACAAAAAAAGAAAAGTTACGTTTAAATTTGTATTCATTTACTTAGTTCCATTTTTAAACAAAACAAAACAAAACAAAAAAACAGGGAATCAGAAAGAGTGGTACCTGGCCCAGGACATTGGATCTTTTTGACCTCTGTGTCTGGCGAAGAAGAACCAGTCCGGCAATAATATCACTGGGCACAATGTCCAGGTCTCTGAAGAATTCTGCAAAAAGGCCGGCCACTTCCGAGTATGCATCCTGGTCATGAAAGCAACAGATATCAGGATTAAAGGGACAATACAAATAAAACCTTTGAAAAAAAATCTGTACTGAAGCAGCGAAATACTTTGATCACAGTAGCATCAATGAGTGCAATATTGTAATTAGAAAGGATTGTCTAAGTAGGCTGTAGTATTTCTGAGGCCACAAACCATCAACCACAGTTGATGGTTTCTAACATCTCCCAGGGTCAGCCTGTCTCTCAGATTGCACATATATATCGAAGCCATTATAAACTATTACATGTTATTCAGCTTAAAGCATCTGTCGGATTTCCACACACTGAAGACATTTTGTTGTGATCAAACAATTTATTAAGTATTTCTGTCACTGGGATTTAAGTCCAACTTTTTTATTCATTTAGAGAATAAAGTTTCACTTTTATTCTCTTAAATAGGGAATTGAAGCTCTTCAATTCCTGAAGAGGTTCAGGAATTGTTGTGACTCACCGATTGTGTATCCTGGGCTCTTGTGCAGCACATGAAGAACTTCAGTCTTCTGCTCCAGCTGCTGGCCTGGCCTTCTTCTAGTCTGTGTCTAACAGCGAGAAGAGCACAAAGATTTCTGTTATAGAGTCGTCATACTAAGTGAGAGAGAAGAATTTAGGGAGCCCGTTTGAACCTGAGAGTGTATGTGGTTAGGTTCCGCTGACGCCGACGGGTTGCTTTGAGTTTGACAAAAGTCCGACCCGTTGGATCGAAGGTGCACATGAGGGTAATGCAAACGCTGAGTATCACCAGCCAGTTACACGCAACGATTCCTGCAAAGAATGTCAAAAGGATATTTTAATGCCAACATAAAACGTCTGGGAGTTCATTTGTTTGCTCTCGTTTCTTATATCAAATCATTTTTTCCACATACCCAAAGCCAAGTTTTTTGCAGTGACATCAGAGCACGGCTGGTAATACTGGACAAGCCAGGCAATGCCTACTACAGCATACACTAGCTCAACTAGTAAAATGGCTAAAAAGAAAGAAAAAAAATCAGAGAGGGTTCATGTTAAAATACATTTTCAATCTAATCATATACTGTTCAGAAACAAAACTAATCGTCCGCCATAGTCTCTTACCTAGTCTGATGTAAATCACATACTGCACAGCTTCCCTGGGCTGTGTGTACAAAATGCTGCCCCTCATACTCAACCACATGATGGCGCTCTCACATATAAGGCAGCTGACGAGGATGCCCAAGTATCCTCGGCCATGGTCCACCAGCGTGACAGAACACGACAGGTCTGAGCCGTACCGAAGGCCGAAGAGAACCACGGACAGAACCACCAACCTGGGTTGGAAAGAGAAGAGAGAACTTCGTCTTCCTGCACAGATTTACTGTTAAGTCCGAGAATCAGACACAACGTTCTGTGGAGTGGTGGGAATCCATACACTGACTCACCAGATGCAGTGCAGCAAAAAAAGGAAGAGGGCGGGCAACACTAGGTCATCACTGCCAACTGACCAGCGCCGCCTAAACATCACCATCCCAGGCATCACTGCCCTGTGAGGGAAAGGAAGAGAAAGGTTTGTCAGTGTCTCGAAATTCATATCAGATCAATTTTTTACTTTTTAATCTTGCATCCAAAATGATCAACGCCACATTATTTTCTATCAAACATTTTCTCCCAGCCTGCATAGTCAACAAGCTAAAAGCAGTGATAAACGTGCAAAACTGTTATAAACCTTCAGCGTATGCTGTCAGAGATTATCTAGATCAAATAAAGTAAAATCTTAGAAGTCAACATTGTCAATGTGTTAGGTATCCATTTTTCATTAAAATAAACAAAATCCAAAAAGCTCTACACTGAGAAGTAGAGGTGAGGGACTTGACATTTAGAAAATAATGACACGTTGAAAGGGTGCAATAGGTTAGGTAAAAAATGAAAGAAAACATAAGATTTAATAAATAATACACTTGTTAGGTGGAAAAGCTGCTTTAATTTCATGCCATCTTTTAAAAAAGACAGATTACTGTTGTTTCCTGCAGGTTAAAAATATATTTAACAGTCTAGAAAGAAAAAATCCAACCATAGAACTACTGCATGGCAACATTAAAGTTCGAAAAGGTTGTAAACTTATTATTAACTTAGTTTTTTAATAAACTCACATATGGCCTGTTTAGTTTTTTTTTAGGGGGGATTTGACATTTGGTCATTAAAAACGTATATTAGGCTGACCAGCATTTAGGTTTAACTGATGAGCTTCACAGGAGTTAAAACAGAGGAAGAGGGCAAGAGTTTCAACAGCGCTGCAGTTTATAGAAGAGCCTTTAACAAGTTGTCACATAGTCATATTTCATCTCTTGTTCATTTTACTCAAGCACTGAGGGGAAAAAAAAAGAAAGAAAAGCATGCTTAGTTGCCAGACAGCTAAAGGAAAGCAGTGCATGTCTGAAATATGTCTGTTTACATGTGACTTTAACGAACTGACCGTCATTAACGGGACCATTTCTGAAATAACATACTTTCTGTTTTTTTAAATAATCAGATTTGAAAACCTACAACCAAGACAACTCTTGGTTAGTTTCAGAAAACAAACATAAAGCTTTCAAACATGCATTTACTATACAGCAATGGGAAAAAAATAAAAATGATCAGTTTCTCTCATTTTACCCTTTATAGGCATGTTTGAGTAAAATAAACTACTGACAATATGTCTCCAAAATTCCAAGCAAAAAACTTAGTATTTATTTGCAGAAAAAGAGAAATGGTCAAAATAACAAATAAGATGCACAACAAGTTGATGTTATTTTAGAAACAACAATAGTAATGTTTTAACTCAGGAAGAGTTCAGAAATCAATATTTGGTAGAACAACCATGAGGTTTTCAATGGTTCAGTGCAGTGGTCTCTTATTTTTTTTCCAGACCTGTATTCCAGCAAGTATTCCACTAGTAAGTGCGATAAATAGTTATTCCCTGCAGTTCATCCATAACTGCATTTCTGGACCAACTTCTTTGTACATACAGCTCTCGGTAAGGTTGTGTAGAATATTACAGAAAAAGCTGATATTTGTTCTTCGATAGCTTGGGAGAGAAAAAGATTTCAAGAAGCTTTCATCCATTCTGTTGCAAACAATCAGAAAACTGGGCATCTTGTCAGCCAACACATTCCCAAGTCCCCTGGACCATAGTACTTTGAAGATGAACCAAATTCACAGTCCAGAAGCTTGGAAAGGGCAAGGCAACACTTCTGTCCTTTGTTTATGTCTGGCTAATAAAAAATTTGAACATTTTCTTCAAATGTGGCTGTTTACGGGTCCTCATATAAGCGCAGATTACATTCTAATTATTTCGGATGGGACTGACAGGGAAATGGGGATCTTGTATTCTTAAGTGGCATTATGTCTCCGTTTCTTGATAAAACTTCTAGATTGATGACATTCATTTTTCTGCCAGGCTTTATTCCTGTTCTCTATTGCCAAACAAATGATCATTTACTACTGTTGTGGCATTGGATATCACCTCAGGAGACACAATACACCAGAAATTGTCATCAACACAAAAAAGGTCAAAAGTGTTGGGCGCAGTCCATTGTTTTAGTGATCAAAGCAAATACAGCCAATGTCAATGTTTCAATAAACTGAGGATACAATAAAATCCCTTGTTTGTCAGACGCAAAAAGAAATGTTACTTCTTTTAGTTCATAGGACAAAATGGGTGCTAAAACACAAGGAATCATAGTTTAACTTGCAAAAGAGGAGTACTAACCGGAATGCCCTAAAAATAATAAGAGACAATAAAGTAGCAACTACACATAACACAGTTTTACTTGTTGGTGAGGCTTGAATTTTCTTTATATCTGAGGAACCAAAGTTGTCAAACTTTTTAAAGATTATTTTTAAATAAATAGTGACCAAACAAACAAACAAACAAAAAAAAAAACCTATCGATTTCAGGTAATTTAACCAAAAAAAAAGTTTAACTTTTCTATACATAGATCACTGTACACAGAATTAAATATTTTGAGAATTTATTTCTGTTAATAGAAAGAGGATGGCTTCCCTCTAATGAAAACTCAAACATTTAATTAATGACGATAATCTATGTAAATTATGTCAATAGGAAGGGATTTTTTTTATGCACCTTTGACAGAAAAATCACAAACTCAGGCAGGAAGTACAAAAAATGAAAACATAATAAAAACAAATCCTACAGATAACTTAGGAAAAAAATACTATAAAATTTAGAAAGAAAGATCTTTAGAAAAAGCATGGCTGAACAAGAACAAGAAGAACAAGAATGAACAAGAATGAACAAGAAGAACAAGAATGAACAAGAATGAACAAGAATGAACAAGAATGTCTGCAGATGCATTTTAAATGAGAAAAAGTAAAATAATGGAGCCTCGTTCTGCACTCGAGTCGCAACAATCTGGAAAGAGTGAGCCCCTTTAGTTTTATATCTAGTCTTCAGAACTACAAGTAGATTTTAGTCTGAGGACCTGAAGGCTCAAGTTGGAGTATATCTAGTAATAATAGAAGGGAGCTTAAACATGCAGCACCCTGAATGTTAAAAATTAATCTTAAAATGAATAGGTAACCAGGGCAAACATTAAAAACGGGAGCGATGTGGCTCCACTGTCGGTTCATGCTTAGACTCTTTCTGCAGAGTTGTGCGCCAACTGGAAGTGCTTGAGCTTTGTCGTTGACGCATGTGAGAAGTGTCCAGAGTAGACAAGAGGAAATAAAAGAATGAAAAACCACCTCCAGTTCCTGTTTTGACACCAACCTTTTTTAGAACATTTGGAAACGCTTCACAATTTAAACATTTTTGGACAAGCTGTTTGAATGGCCTTCAAGAGAGATTGATTTGTTAAATACAAGTAATACCAATTCCTAAAAAGATATACTGAAGTGTCAACCTACTGAAAAATTTGTTTATGCACCGTCTATGCTCAGTACATGATCAGAGCTCCTTCTGTGTGAATTACATCATCAATGTATGGTATGAAGGTGATGAGCATGTCGCTCCGTTGAGGTGTTCAGACACTCCTGGTAGCGACCTGAAACTCGTCTGCAAATGCCATTTTCATAGAGTGGCTATGGAATTTAGATCAAGCCAACAAACTTGTTTGACCTGATCTCATGGTCTCTCATAGCGCAGACTGGATACAATACAAGTAAAGTAGAACAACACATGACATGGCTCCTGAAACCATCATTGTCTGAGGAAATGTCTTGATGCTCTTCCTCCACAGTCTGAGGTCTTGATTAAAAAAAAAAAGTATTCCACTAATTTTCTCCTCAATCTAAGTAAAAAATATCTGATGTAACTTCTGGAACAGGAGTTACTTAAAAAAAAAAGGAAGTAAAAGTTGTAGCCTATGTCCAAGATAAGTCTGTGTGTGGCAGCTCTTGAAGAACTGAGTGTTACCAAAATCATTGCCTTGTTTATATACTCCTAATTCTTGAATGGGAAAAGCAGCACAGTCCTTTCAAGGCAGCAGTTATTCCAGTTTTTCTTTCAATCACTTTAATTAAGCACTCTGAACAAGAATCTTTGCAACCAATTGCCTTTTGCAGCTTACCCTTCTCATGGAGATCATCAACTGTCTACTCCTGGATCACTGTTATGTCAGGAGTGAGTAGGCCAACATAATATCTCTGTCACAAAAATATGTTTATTAATCTCATGTAATATTCTAATACTCTGATCAAATTAACGTAGGGTTAGGCCAGTGGTTCCCAAACTTTTTCTTCTGTGCCCCCCCAGTGGTTTCCAAACATTTTCTGCGCCCTCCCTATGGATTACAAATGGCTGTCGAGTTTTTTGAGGGCAAAATGAATGTAGCTGAAAATAGACACCAACATCGGTAGCCTACAAGGTACTTGTTAAGCTTAAGGTTCTGTATTGATATTAGCTAGCTAGTCATCTTTTAGCTAACATTACCTGCATCCAACAGCTTTACTCAACTCAGTCGGTTAGTTTGGAGGGAAAAACTGTGAAAAGTTCTTTGCGTTTTGCTGGTTTGCTGCCGTGATTCTAACACAAACCTACGTAGCTCCGCCCAGCAGCAGCAGGTCTCCTTCACAGGTGTAAACCCAGCGCGAGCGTCGTAGCGCTCATGTTGCGTTTAAAGGCGGCTCGGAAAAACAGGTTACGACATATTAACAACGGATTAAACAGTTTTAACTGCTGATAAAAGTGACAGAGGACACAGATATGGGGAGTGTGGAAGCCTCTACTGTATCAAATTGACATAGGAATAACAGAGAGTTGGCCATTCTAAGGTAAAAACCCAGCGCATACAGTGTTCATGTTTTGTTTTTGGTTTTTTTTCATCCAGACGGCTTCCCGCGCCCCCCCTGCAATGACACGGCGCCCCCCCCTAGGGGGCGCGCCCCACAGTTTGGGAACCTCTGGGTTAGATCATTAGCTGTGCGAGTTACGATCATCAGAATTAACTAAATATAGCCTTGAAATAAAGCACTGTGTCGTCTTAATAATATGCACCACTTTTGAACTGAGTTAAATAAGATTGCTTCTTTATATTCGTCTGAT